TGCACGTGGTGCGAATGCTTCGAACAGTTCGAAAGAGACGAGACGTCGGAGCGGTACGGAACGCTTGAAGCTGAAGAGCACAATTGAAAATGGGAGGAACACGTGACGGGTGGCACGAGCGCGAAAGTACAGTAAGAACGAAGAGGAGTAACGGGCCAAGTATGAACAAGCGGTCTGTTCGCGATTCTCGACTTCCCGTGGAACAGAAGTTGCTAGATGCGGGACGTCGTCGCGTTGCGATAAATGCTCAGCAAGCATACATACGCAACTCGTTTCCATGTCGTTTAAATTCCTGCGATGTTATTCGGTTATGACGGTTGCAACTTGAACCAGGAAATCGCCGCGAATGAACGAACGGACACAAACTATTGAGGAAAATTACTGGTTCCACACTTTTCGCGATTTTAATTATTCTGCTATTGAGGGATTCGCGAATCACTTTGTCCGTTGGATATCGTGAGATGAAACGAAGCCAAGAGAGAAATGAAGAGAGAGAATTGTGGTAGCTTGTTGTGGTAAATTTTTTCGAGGTAAAGTAGATAGTATTTCTGACACGTGCGTAATTTAGAATACTATCGAATGTTATTGTTACGCAGATTCATATTTTTACTAATATAATATGAGAAATGCAAGATAAAAATTTAGATAAAAATTTAAGTAGATTTGTATTTTATGGTCTAATGTTCTAAAGTATTCCAAGCAAAGAAATCTAAACTATTGACATCGATATCGGAAGATCTACACGCGAGTATCTCACACGTACGCGTATACTTAAGATTTCTGCAGATGTACGTGAAGTATTTCGTGCATTTTTTGCGTATATAACGTGCATACTGTTTTTCCATAAACGCGTGAAAATTCATATACCATATTCATATACATTTCTTTCCCGAAAAGGAGAGCACGCCAGCCAAAGGGAACAAATTCCACCGCTGGTGGAATAGAGAAACTAGGCCTAGAAGACCAGCAATTTCTCTCGCTACCACCTAACGTGTAATCTCGCAATCGGTTTCAAGAGAAATGCGAAGACATCGCGTATATAATGGTAAATCACGAGGGAGGGGGACCACGCTCGGTTCCGCTCTGTTTGCGCGGAACAGCGAAAACTGTGATTGTCCACCCCTATCTGACATCTGTACCAGCTGCACGCATTACGATACGTTATTATGTCACGGTGTGGTGGCGTTGTTGCACGCGCCGACAAAGCGCGATGCAACGACCAGGTGCAATCACGGCCTCGCGTACAATTAACGCGCCGCTCGCAATTATGTTCCCCCGAGGCTTTCGAAACTGCTCCCTTTGCCCTGTCGTTCGGACCGCGTGGGCGTGAGACGTGTAGGAGACGCACGGCGTCACGATGATTACTCAATTACCGTTAATCAACGACGCACACAGTCCGATTGAATCCCCCTTTCTCCGTAGAAACGACTTTTCTTCGTTTTCTTTTCGAGCGCGCGTAGGACGCAGAGGTTAATCGTGCAATTACGAGCGACGAACGGGGCGAACTGTTGATGCTGGCCGATTGTCCATTATTTAATAGGGTTCGTTTCGATCGTTGACTCCTTTCGACGTGCTCCGAGATGAGCAACGAGATCCAACGTCTTTTCTTCTTTGGCAACGATCGCGTTGTCGTTCTCCCAAGGTTTCAAGTAAGTTTCTTCGTCGGTAGCACCGCGACTGAATATGAATCACGTTTCCACGTAACTGTGTGGGATGATTCTTTACGACCGATTGTTTTAATTTTAGTAACAATAGGCAGACGACGACGCGAGCACAGCAGAAATTTTTCGATTCGATCGAGATACGTACGACAATGTACGACTCGTGTAGTGTATTTACTACTCAATTGAAATTCTCTAAAATAGTTAAAATCCTTTTTAAATGTCGAAACTGAATATCTACAAAACTGAATATCCCGAATGAATATTTAGAACGAATTTCGAGTAATTTTCATTTATGAGTCTAAATTTACTCTTCTTGAAGTACGATATAATTTTTCAAGAGGATGCTACTATTCATCGTTGAACTCTAGTTATTTGTATAAAATCCACCAATAAAATTTTCATACCAATTCTTCATTCTTTTACTGTATATGTATTTTGTCTTCGCGTCACGCGTCTCGCCCTCAACTCTAAACAATTCCTCCTGACTTCCCAACACTTGTGAAATCCAGTTACGAAAATCCTCCACTCGCATTGTGACAGTGAAAAAAAAGAACAGGTTTCAGGGAATATTATGAAACCGGGATTCCAGATCCTCTTTGTCATTTGGTTTGCAACCACGTTCGACCAACGAGGCCGGGTCTCTCGCTTGTTGAACCGAAAGCCTCTCTCGTGGGAGATCCATCGAGGAGCTTACATGCTCTTGGTGGAATTCTTCGTCGGTTCGTCATTGTATGCTCATGAGACAGGACGTCGTCTGTGACCCGGTGCCGACGTAACGCGCCATTGTCGCGAAACCGCGAGGAATGTCACGAAATAAACCGTTTTCTATCTCTCGCGTTACGCAACAGATCCGTCTGTATCCATTGTTCGCGATTTCAGCCACGTTCGAGACACCTTGCATTTAAGTGTTAGACAATGACAAGAATTTTTCACGCCTCGTCGATATTGAACGATCAAGAGGAGTTTTGCTCTGTACCTTTGTGCGAAAATAGGTCGAAAACGTAGAATACAGTATGTCTTTCTTTCAGGCTTCGTCTTTGAGAACGAAGTTGAGAACGCACGTTGAGAATGTTTTGTTCCAAAATTGTAATATTTTTCTCAGTTTTAAATATATTTAAGTAAAACAAAATAGGCAGAACAAATAATAAATTTATTACTTCTCAATCATTTCTATCCAGTGAATATTATGCCGACGAGTTCAAAAAGAAAGCGACGAATTGTTGTACACGGTTTGTTGGTCACTCGTTATGGTCCGCAATCAGTTTGCCAGCGCGAGAGGTTAAGTCAAGATTTAGTGTAATATTTTGTGTAATATTTTTTAATTAATTTGAAAAACTGATTTGAATCTTACATTATAAGGGGCCGTAGAATTTCATTTCAATCAATCGATCATCTGCCAATTTCGATATTAATGCTCTGTTCATTCGAAATTTTAATTAACGTTTGATCTTACTACGTGAACGAGAAATAACAGGTAGGGCAAAAAATTAATGAGTTTCTATTATAAGAGCCCCAACTAAATAAACTCACACTTGCCCAAACAGTTTTACTATAATTGATACTAATAATAATCTTCTTTCTGTCTTTTAATAGGAGTTTAATCATCTTCGTGTAATGCCACAAAACAACTCTCATGTTGCGCAATGTCACGTCGCGCTCGTGTCTATTGTTCACGTGCTCAGCCATTTTCGAAGCATTTGTACGTACGTCAGGAACACACTCTTGGTGACAAGAATTTTTCACGCGTTTCAAAGCGCCTCGTCCGCGTTCCTCGCGCGCGAAACACTCGCGATCGCCAGCCTCGACAATACAGCCATTGTTCCGTCGTTTCGCTGCCGAAAATCGGACGACAATGTGCTTTTTCAAAACCCGAGTCTGTATTACGTATTGTTCGAACGTGTGACGGGCAATCGTCTGGTCGCGAAAGAACTTCAACTGGAAGATTACATGGCCGTACGAACGAGTTCTGAATACGAATCTCCGGACGGATATTTTTTCCGTCGCCGTTTGAAATTTGTCGATGCATCATGAGCCATTTCTTGAGAAACTCACGCAATCGTTATCTCGCGTGTAATTTATACGCTCGGGAATTTCACGGGAACGTTCCAACTAAATTTTTGCTACGTTTCACTGAATTATTGCGTAGTATTGCACCACGAGACGAGACCTTGCGTTTAACTTGGCTCGTGAACTTTTCCTTTCGGGTATCGTAAAAGATCAGAGAGCTGCGTGGAACCGCGCAAATGGATAGACTGTTTGGAGTTAGTTGTCAATAGCAAAGGCTACATGTAATCAAGTTGTTGAAATATTTCAACCTTGAGCGAGATATAAAACGGTAATGCTTTCCGTGTTTGCACACGCGAGCGATATCTAGAGAATATCACAACTGTTTCGCGTGAAGTTTCGAACAAATAAGACTGATTCGGGAGAAGGCGTCCACTTATTTATTTCTGATAGTACCCTAGTTTCCCGATGTCGATTACTTTAAATCGTACGCGATACCATTTACACGTTCCGTGTTCGTTCAAATCATTGTGAAATCGGTTGAGAGATGTAATATGCAAACAAGAGTATAGTTTAAAATAGTATTAATAATTAAGTATAAGTTTTATAACAATAATAACATAATATAATAATTAATATAATATAATATATTATATTATATTATTATTTCTATTATTATTATTATTATTATATTATATTAATATTGTTATTAATATAATATAATATAGTATATAATAATTAAGTACGAGTATAATTTAAAAATTACGACTACGTATTAGTTCCTGATAAGGCACACAAAAAATAATAATTAATGCCCGACTGTGTCTTTTCTTTCATGTATATTTCTGCCAAAAGAGTACAAGTTACAATTGCTAGTTTGCAAAAAAGTATTTAAGCTTAAATTGCAATATAAAATCAGGTATCAAATATTGGTCCAAAATAAAACACGTCTCGCCTTTTTTTTTTTTTACCGTGATGACCTGTGTTGTTTTAATCTAAATTTGACTTATCTTTACCTGCCCATCAGAAACGTATACATTTCTGGAAAGAACTGGGGAAGGACAGTTGCGGAAAAATGTAAAATCTATGGTTCGCGTCGCGATAGATTGGCAAAAATCATCGGGTTTTCCTACAAAGGCAACGTTTCTTTAATGTGAGAAGGAAGGCTGGAAACCGGCCATCGTCGATCACGGCGTTAACTTTACCGCGGCAATTATACTTGGCTAAAGTTACCCATCAATCGGGAAACTTTCTCAACGTTGAACGGCGGTCAACGACGCGAAAAAAAAAAAAAACTAACCAGCTAAATTCCCCTCCATTAAAATTTTTTACCTATCTCGAGTGTCCGATCCGAGCGTCCGCAGCCACCCTTGTAGATCGTAACTCGAGGACGCAGCGAGAGGTCTCTCCTCCAACTGGCTCCGTGGATCAGCCGTACTCACCTGAAATCAGAAAACACAAGGCTCTTGGAGAGTGCATTCGGCCCGGTGCGTGTAGACCGTGTTCCTTCAATAGAAACTGGCTAGAAGATCGTAAATTTACCTCGTTCACCTTGCGCGCGCGGATAAGATATGCGGCGAGAGGCTCGTGAGAAGACGCGCGCGCCCGAGCGGAGAGAGACTCTCGTAAAGTACAATGTCCGTATGCATCGGTGGAACGCGACGCCACTGGCCGGCACGACCGAGTCTCGGCTTTCCAAAATTTGCATTACCGAACGTCGTCGACGGCTGTTCGTCGAGAATTAACGGCGCCACGGGGACCCTTAATTATTTCCACGGCTACCGTCGTTTTTCCTTGTCCAAAGGGGTCGGCTAGACTCCTGGGAATCGCGAAACTACGCTTCCCGAAATGCAAATCCCCCATCCTCGTGCGCTTCGAATCGCTAATCCCAGTCCTGTGATCGACCTGACGACTTCTTTATTGCTTATATAATCGCCGAGTGTCGACGACGTAACGTAAATTTAAGCACTGTTGCGCTGGAATGAATATAACACACGTCGGGAATGTTTTTGTCCCAAATTGCAACATTTTCTCAGTTTCAAGTGTATTTCAATGTACAACCCAGGCGAAACAAATAAGTTTATTACTTCTTAATCATTTCTATCCGGTGATATCATACCGACGAGTTCAAATGAAAAAGAGAGCGACGAGTTATTGTATACGGTTCGGTCGCTCGTTATGGTCCGCAAATCAATTGCCAGCGCAAGGAGCTAAAGGGAGTAATTGACAGTCGTTTCAAATGCTTGTTAAATTACTGCTGTCAAATGACTGGTATAAAGCAGGATGTACAATTCAGTTTGTTTAAGTTTTCGCACCGGTTACTAATTTTTCTTTTCTGGCTTGTCGCGTCTAGAAAAATTTTTCCTTCCTTTTGAAAATGAACGTGATTTATTGTTCAACAGAAATTCGTATTTCCTTTATTTCCAAACTTCAAAAGGCTACCAAGTTTGCGAATAACTACTATACACCAGTCATATTCCTCTCTTTGTTTCAGACGTTTTTATCGTTATCCGGAGAATATTTGTTTCCTATTTCCCTCTTATCGTTCTACCATATCAATTCGAAAATGTCGCACAGTTTAACAGCACCTTATCAATTATGGTTGGATTATTGGAATAAAGTAGCTGTTACATAACCACGTGTCTCTAATCAAGAAAATGCACACGTAATCCAGCCGAACGAACACGTGACTATGATCCCATTAATGCCGGCCTATCGTGTCGTTAAACTGCAAACCACAAAATCACAGCAGAGAGTGAAAACGGAAAGCTCGAAATCCTGTGTAAAGCCACTGTTGTGAAACACTGGATATTATTACACATAAATTCCAGTAAAATACGATGCTGTAAAATACGCTGATATTTTTTCCCCAAAATTGTCTTTCCCTTGAAATATATACGCGTGACATCAAGCGGTTAACTTCTTACATGTATATTTACATTACGCATCCCATCATTTATGATCCATGGTATCGACAAATCTTACAAAGTCTTATCAAACGATCGAGACCGATCAGTTCATTCCAAATTAAAAACGTAACTCTTTTACGTCTTGGCGTGGCCAATTAATTTTCTAATATCATTAATTTGCCTGAAAGCTCTCTCTTCTACAAATCCGCTTCTTTAACATATTCTTTTCAATTATTCTTTCAATCCAATCTTTTATTTTCTACAGTACTGATTGATCCGACTTTTTCCTCTCGCAACGCCTTTTTTTATATCGTTCATCAAATTGCAATTTCTGGGATACAATTCGCAGCTTTCGATACAATCGTAGTCAGCAACAAAATTCCCAGATGCCAAGTCTCGGTCAGAGAAAAAAAAAAAAAAAAAAAAAAAAAAACGAGCGTCAAAGAGTGTTTGAACCTTCGGGTATCCAGGTTTCCGGCGACGCTCGTTCCGGCTCCGAGTTGCGGCGCGTCTAACGCGCGAGAGAAGTGCATTCACCCCGATGTGATGCCGGTTGCATCGTTTACAGCCGCTACAGCCTTCTCTCTGACTTTTCCAGACTTCTAGCCAGAGAGCAGCTCTATCTCGTCCACGGTCAACACTTATGCACTTACGCGTTAATGCCGTAACGACCGCGTCGGCTGCCGCAGTTGCAGTTGCACCGACAATGGGCCGAGAGTATCCGCGCTTCTCTCCGAGAAGCATCGACATCAACAGATTTATTCCCTCCCTTGTTTGACTTTCCCTTGCACGCATAAGGGAGTTCATCCCTTTCAAGTTTCCTCGCTCTCGCGTTCGTTGAAATTCGAATTTCGCTGCTTCCTTTTAAAAATTAGAAGCAGTCTTCTTACCTTTATTTCGATTAAACCTACAAGACTGTAATTACCAATGAGCTGAACATGTTGAATTTGCCCGACTATTCGCCAATCATGTAAAACACATTTTCTAAAATAATTAAACGAAATATCCATAATATCTTCGACATTATTTAATTCTATGAGACGTAATGATATCAGAAAATGTAGCCTTCTCCCTTAAGTTAAGTTCTCCATCGCGTCGACCAATTTTATTCGTTTTCTGACCAGCTTCAAAACGCACGAAAGCGATAAATCAAACAGCAATTAAATCACGCTCGAGCCCGACTGCAGGCCGGTTGTTACCATTTCACGCTGGCGAGCTGGAGAAAACGCAACGAATGTCATGCTCGCGAGCACGTTGAAACGTGCTGCCGTGCTGGCAGCTGTCGGAGGTCATTTTTCAGAATGCATTCCCTCCCTGGTAAAGGCCGTACGCGCGCCTTCTGGAGCAGAAAGGTTCGCGGGAGCGAGGCCAGAGTGGAGTAAGTGGCCAGACTTACTCCAGGTAACCGATCGGAAGAAGGCCTTCACGGCCGTACGCCCACTGTAAATTTTACTACGTCATCTCCGGGAACGACCTCGTCCCACAGCCGGCACTAAATCCTTTTACGATCGGGCCAACAGCCGAGCCAGCTCTGTTCCACCGGTGTCGTTGACTCGCCTTTTATACTCCGTTCCTCTAGCGGTCAACCTCTCGAGAAGAGATAAACAAAACATCGAACGCTCGCGCAAAGAGAGCGGCAGTTGCAACTAGGAGGAATCGAAGTTTCGATTGCATCGAACTAGACAGCTGTTGGAAAATATTTTTGTCCCTTGGTTTATCTTTTCACGATTGAGTTACCGATGGCGTTTCGTATCAGTTTTACGCGATGATATTAAGGAGGTACTCTGATAATCCGGCTTTAAAAAGAAATCGATTTTTCTTCTTTACATTTTCTCAGATGCTTTCGGGAATGCCTGTGTAAAAGGACTTGTCTGAATTCATAAAATTAGCAGAGTTATAGATGTTTAAAGGAAACGGTGTACTGCTCGCAATGTAAGTATGAATATTTTTGTACAACGGGTAGCAAAAACTTCAAATGTGTTTTTCTGAAAAAATATTTTATTTTATAATATTATTATTTATACTATTATTATTTTATAATATTTTATCTTTTGTACTGCTCGATTGATTCCACGTATGAATATTTTTGTACAACGGGTAACAAGAACTTCAAATGTGGGATATCTCACGTTTTGGTTGACCGATTGACTTGAAATTTGGAGCAGATCTCCACCGATGTACATTTATCGCATGACTCACGGATTTTAAAATCTCATTTTTTTCTATCTTTTTTTTTTATTACCCAAAAAACGAAAAGTAGAAGGAAAATCGATATTTTAACTTCGAAATGCTGTCATTCTTTTAATTTTCGAAATTTCGCTGTTTCTGTGGTTCACACGATAGCCATATACTAATTTAAAAAATGCATTTTAATTTTTTAGTTTCAAATAACCAGGTGGACCGGGATCATGTCAGTCATTCGAACCCGTTTTTAAAAACATGCTTTACCTACGGCTATATAATTTCCACAACTTTCATTAATTTCGTTAAAAAAGAAATTGTAAATACTCTTCAAGTATGAATAAATCTGTGTGCGAAAACTGCATACCAAAATGTATTATGGTTTCCTTGGAAAAAAATCCCAAAAAAGTCGATTTTTTCAAACCGAATTACCAGAATACCTCCTTAAACAATTTGTATATCTGTGACGATCCTGCGCAAATCTGACAACTTGTTACAGAAGTTAACTTATCCAAATATAAAAACGAGAAGAGAAAGATAAAAATCGTACCAGAATACAAAGTGAAATCTACCGCAAGTGAATAAAAAATTTCCAGTGGGAGTACCACCAATTTCCATAAATCTACGAGCGAACCTAGTAGTATTTTAAAGTGCCGGTATTTTAATATACGGGGAAACCATTTTGGAGTAATCAAGAGTCGGCGAACGTTTCGCGCGCTGGCCGTTTTAACCGCGGGACCACGTTTCGAATCGCGTCCGATAAGGAAGCGTTACGCAATCGTTAAGTGAGTGCGGATAATTGCACGTAAACGTAAGCAATAGTCATTAGCTGTTCGCTCGGGTACGGGAAAACATATCGCCGCGTCAATGCCTCGTAACATATTATACGCTCGCGTTGAAAGTTCAACTGAGAACGAGACCGATACTCCCCCGCGATTACCATACAAACATTTAATTGCACGCGAATATTAATGAATATCGCGGATCGTTTCAACGTCGACAAATTGCTGCCGGTTTAAAATTGAAACAACCCGAACGAAGTAAAATCTCGTCGCCGACACGCGGCCGTTTAAATCAATATATTCAGAAGCGTGCTTGTGCCTCTACACGCATAATGCAATTTGTCTGTAAAACAGATAACCTAGCGAGTTGCTGATTGTCAGAGCGTGGTCGACACTTTTATTGGAGAAAGTGGGTAACTTCGACGGGTTCTTTAATTATCACAGTTTGAATCTTGATCCGTTTTCTAGTAGTTCCTGGTTCGAGAAAAGTATATTAACCCGACGTTAACCCGCACCCGATCAACGCTCGATTCGAACGAAATTCCGAAAACGATATCTAACCGTGGTGAA